TTTGCGAATTGTCACTTTTGCGAATCACCATTTTTACGAATTGCCATTTTTGCGAATTGACATTTTTGCGAATTGTCATTTTTGAGAAATGTCATTTTTGCGAATTGTCACTTTTGCGAATCGCCATTTTTACGAATTGCCATTTTTACGAATAGTCATTTTTGCGAAAAGTTATTTTTACGAATTGTTATTTTTGCGAATTGTCATTTTTGCGAATCGCCATTTTTACGAATTGTCAATTTTCCGAAAAGTCATTTTTGCGAATCGACATTTTTACGAAATGTCAAATTAAAGAAAAGTCATTTTTGCGAATTGTCATTTTTGCGAAAAATACAATAGAAAACTTGAAGGTCTATAAATTCACTATTGTATTTTTCGCAAAAATGACAATTCGCAAAAATGACTTTTCGGAAAATTGACAATTCGTAAAAATGGCGATTCGCAAAAATGACTTTTCGGAAAATTGACAATTCGTAAAAATGTCGATCTGCAAAAATGACAATTCGCAAAAATGACAATTCGTAAAAATGACTTTTCGCAAAAATGACTATTCGCAAAAATGACAATTCGTAAAAATGGCTATTCGTAAAAATGGCGATTCGTAAAAGTGACAATTCGCAAAAATGTCATTTCTTTAAAATGACCATTCGAAAAAATGGCAATTCGTAAAAATGACTTTTCGCAAAAATGACATTTCACAAAAATGTCTTTTCGTAAAAATGACAATTCGCAAAAATGAGTTTTCGAAAAATTGACAAATCGTAAAAATGACGATTCGCAAGAATGACTTTTCAGAAAATTGACAATTCGTAAAAATGGCCATTCGCAAAAATGACAATTCGCAAAAGTGACATTTCAAAAAATTGGCTTCTCGCAAAAATGACTATTCGCAAAAGTGCAGTTCGGTAAAATGACATTTCGGAAAAATGACATTTGGGGAATAATCATGCTTCCCGTCAAACTTATTAAAGTTTAATTGAAACATATTTTTTGGTTCATTTAAAGAAATAATAATGTTATGTCTCAGAAAGAAACTAAACATATTCCAGATTATATATATTTAAATTGTCCGGCATCGGTGATTCAAACCTGATTTATTCACAGAGCAAAATAAGTCTCTGATAGTAAGGGACAGGTTTTAAGAAAGAGGAACTGTTAAATTGAAATTAAATTATTAAAGTTTTTATTTGAATCCTTTACAATTAGAATTAGAGAGAAAGAGTAGATCCAGATGTCTTCAGGGACGCTGAAACAAATTTAGAACTTTGTGAAATTAATCGAGAATTTAAATGGGGATAAAATTTAAAAGTATTAGTAACTTACCTTTAAAAATTATTCTTAGAGTCGTAGACCCAACAAACGGTACCTCCTAGCGGAAACAGAGAATGCAGTAGATTTCCCTCAAATTGTTTTCGGGGCAGCCGAAGTGAAAGGTCCGGGGTCCAGGTGTCGATGTAAATTAAATTAATCACCCCTCAACTTAAGAGTAACCGAATTATTAACTTGACGTTGATGTCGAGGTAATGCAGTCCTTAGAAAAACAGAAATGTTTTTCTAAGGTAAAAAATTTCTCGTAGTAGAAATTATCTCCTTGAATGAACTTGACTAAGACGAGACTTGAAGAAAAAACTTGGTACTTGAAGGGATTTTCTGGACTGGAGTCGAAGAACAAACTGGATGACAGTACACAACTAGTTAACTTGACCACTGTTGCTGGACTGACACAAAAAAAACGTGAAGTTGATTTGGTGGTGACTTCTGGACTAACTTAAGGGAGTTTCCTGGACTAGAGTCAAAGAAGACATTTGGAGGCAGTACACAACTAGTTAACTTGGTGGCGATTCCTGGACTGACTAATTCTGCAAGGGTGTCACCTCTTTTAGTTCCTTTTGTAACGGGAACTCACGTCATACCACCCACTTTTATCACCTTTGGGCCAATGTGATAAAAATTTTATTACCTGTAAGTGGGGAACCAATAGAAGAATGACAAAATACAGATGACCATATTTGGCATCTGCTATCCATCAGCACATCAAAATACAAAAGGAAAAGGTAGTCTGATCTCCCAACCCCGACACTTTTTTTGTGTGGCCGTTTAATTTTCTAGGTTAATTTACTGAATTCTTTTCCGATTCCTTCTGGTTCTTGAAAATTAATGTAACGAAAGATTATAAAGACTACACAATGATATTTTCTTGGCAGTACTCGACTCAAAATTTGGTCCTACCTCCAGTGCTACGAATCTTCCTTGGCCTAGATGTTCTTGGCTCTTATGAAAGTCTTCCTGGCTTCCTCGAGGACAGTTCTAAAGAATTCGCATATTCCATTTCTGTCGACTTGCTTCATGTTCACCTTGTGACTTAACTTTTCTCTGCAAAGGAAGTTAGTTTGTGCTTTTCTGATAGGCGGAAAACATTTGACCAACTTCTTCGCACTTAAAGCACGCAGCCGATCGATCCACTTCTATTCCTTGTGGCTTTTTTCTAAATGTCCGTATTCTAGACACATGACCATAATTTTTTTCTGATGAGACATAAAGATAATCTTTATGCGCCCTAATTTTTCCAGACCATCCTCTTCCTCTTGGTTGGTGACAACAACTTTCGCGACTCTTATCAATATTGTTGATCTTCTTGACGCTTTACTTCCCCGCTTTGGTTTCAGTGTCTCAATAACCTTATCAGTCTACTTCCTCGGGGGTGCTTCCTTTGGTTTTTACTTCTTCGCTGTGGCCTAAATTTTTTTCGAACTTTTTTTTTCGTTCCAGTCACTCGGGTTTTACTTTACGCTTAGAATATTGTCTAATTTAAGTCTGTCAGTCATTTATATTGAAGGGGATGAGCTGTTTTGTCTATTGTTTCGTTTTCTCTAGTTTCTCTATATGATTTTGAATCCAGTTTGATTTAATAAATTTCCTATAGCGTCTCGTACAATTTTTATTCTATAACCTTTCGCGTTTTTTAATTTTTAATTTTATTTCTTGCAATCCTGCTACAAGGAGTACACAAGAATATGAAATTCGTTTTTTGTTTATTGATAATGTCAGTACTTATAAAATTACGGAGGATACCAACACATTTTTATACAATAGTTTGATTTTGGATGTTGATGAAAGAAGTTAGTATATGTTCGACGTATAGTGTTGATATGGGAGAGAGTGTTTGGAATTAAAGAGATTTGTAAAAGAGTGAAAATCCACTAAGTTTTGAGTTAATAAATATTGGTGAAAAGTTCTTGAACATTTAATTATTATTCGAAATTCATATACCAGAAAACTTGACATCATAACCATACGAAGCTGGTGAAATATTGGTATGTGTATTTTTGTTTGACAAGAGTCGTGTCTCAAAAGACTAAGTTTCTTGTTGATTGAGAATTTACTTATTATTTTTTCTAAATAAATATAACTGGCATCTGACTGACGCTTTGGTGCTAAATAATTCTAATTTGTGACGAATAAGGAAAAATGATTTAGTAATCTATTCCTAAACCCTTAAATGTAGATAAGCACAGCTATAGAAATATAAGTGTCTAGAAATAAAATAAAATAATTAAAACTCAACTTGTTGCCTATAATTTTTTGGCACATTCATTTAGGATCCTAAGCACTTTCAAATTACAAAATATGAACAAAATTCATTCTCGATCATTTTATTTTCCACTGGAATGACCCAGTACGAATACGGTATTAGAAAACAATGTTACTTTAATTATTATTATTCGTTTATAATTGAACTATCACAAGAAAGTAAAATTAACCATCTTAATTTTGCTGCTCTAATTTTCTCCGTTTACCTAATGGATTACTTAATTGTTTTTAACTCTTAAGTTTGTTTGTTTTCTATGACCCGAAAGGTCACCAAGACAGTCTACTTTGTTTACATTACTTTTTACCAGAACTAATTATCTTGATTATTCTGTAATTAACAAAGTGGACAATCTAACCAATTTAATAGCAATATCAATTTATTTTGTAGATAATCGAACTTTTTTAATTACTTAATTATGTAATCCGATCTTCAATGTAAATACAAGAAAAAAATCCACTTAAATTGTGATAAATTTTTCTCGGTAATTAATAATAATTCTAGATTATGATTTCATCGATTTATTTTTAATTAAATAAGTATTAATTATAGTAAAAAATTTATTTACTGTAGTTTAGAGTCTAAATATAAGCCAATTAAATAACAAAATTTGATTAAGTTTAGAGTTTCGTCGTCTGGTTTTGCTTAATTCCTTAAAATGTTAGACAATTGCTGACTTTTGAGTAGTTTTTACAAAATTGCCTCGTCTTTACACAGCTCATTTACTGTCTACTCTTTATAATTAGTTCAGGGCCGTGGTACTTTGAATATCCTACAATTTTAAAAATTCTGTTTCATTTTTTTAAATGTAAAGATAATGCGCAAAATCTTTTGGATTAAAAGATAAATTCGCCTAATGTACTTCCTGGTGTTACTTTCGTGTTTTTTTTTTCATTGAATATATAATAAAAACAGTGAAGTTTGTAGTGAATTTCCGGAGAAGGAAGATAAATGAAATGTTACTTTTCAAGTTAGAATTTTCATCGATGCCACCAAAAACTTTTCGCAGGAAAAGTTTCACATTGAAAGGTTTAACTGTTCTGTTATGATAAACCAATACAAAGCTGCGTTTATGTCAAAGTTTGCTTTGTCCACTTTGTGGAATCGCTTTGTGCGCTTTGATGCATTTTCGAACGATAGGAAACGGGAGTCCATTTCAGTTTTACAAAGCGACTGATTGCATATATTGAATACTGCGCGCAGCTTAGTTGCCCTATTCTTGATAATTAAATGCCCTTTTTCACCTACAAATAATTATGAAGTGCCATCTTTGCAGAAAAATATGTTATGGAATCATACTCAGTGTAACATTAAAGAATTTCCACTTTTTAAATAAATTTAGAAGTGGTTTGTTAGGCAAATTTAAAATAAAATTTATGTTATTATAAAAATGTATTTTTATTAATTTCAGTGACCAAATCGTGTGCTACGCGAAGAATAACCCAAACATCACCAGATAGTGACAAAATCTGTTCAGGTAAGAATTGAATATTTAATAACTATTTCATGAACACTCGACGTTTTAACCTTGAGTAATATTCAAGCTTGACACAATCAATAACAGCATTTAGAGTTACACTCTAAATAAAAATTTTTAGTGGTTATACCACTAAAATTTAACGGCAGCTTTTAGAAGATTATTTTAGAGTTACACTATGAAACCACTGTTGCTATTCGGAGAATCTTGTGGTAACACGCCACTCGATTGAAAAGTGAGTTCGCTTGTGCTGAACGTCGACTTTTATACATGAGTTTTTAAAGGCCCCACGCAATTGGTCGGTCTCGAAAAGGTGGGGTTACTTTCAATAACAAACCTCAACATCACAAAATGCATAAACACTTTGTTTATGACGGAACTATCTTTTTTAATTGATTTTGACAGTGAAAATCAACACTTTAGATGCTACGCGCACATTATGAGCTTGGCTGCTCAGGATATGTTGAAGCAATTTAAATTTAAAACTAGAGAACGATAATATTGATTTTGAAACAGATTTAAATAATAAAGATCTTGAAAGCGTAATCGAAAATACTGCAAGTTCTGATACAGACATGAATTCTGAAGATGACGTTGAAAATAATGCTGAACCCAAGAGTCTAAATTGAAAAACCCTTCTCTCAAAGTTACGATTACTATTTATGAAATGTAAGAATTCTGAACAAATCAGAAACAAGCTTAAAAGCTGTTGAGAATCTTGCAACGTGAAGTTTAGACATCCCAATGTTGATGTTAGTACGCGATGTAACTCCAGTGTCGAAATGATAAAATTCGGTCTTGTGATGCAAAATCCTCTAAGTATATTATGTCAGAATAATGAAAAATTTATTCATCTGCTTCTCAATTAACAAGAATAGTTGATTTTACAAGAGATTTGTAAAGACTTAAAACATTGTCAAGTCTCTATCCAAACTCCTAAGCGGTGATAAATATGTTACCTTAACCTTTTGTCTTGATTGGTTTCAATATATGTTAATCGACAAACTCGATAAATAGATAAAAGAGATAATGGAAAAAATATCTAACAGCAATAAACAAAACCGAATCTTTAAACAAATCTTAACTGCTCTTGAAGAAACTCGAAGAAAATTGTTTAAACATTACGATAAGAGTAATTGGATATATTGTGCACATTTAATCCTAGATCTGAGACACAAAACTGAAATGTTTAATAAAACATCATGGGGAAGGAAAATAGCAGTGCACTCGATTAAAATTTTTGAAAATTTATACAAGGATAATTATTATGTTCCACAAGAAAATAAGGTAAAAAAATAAATTTCTATTTAAAAATTGATCATCTAGAAATCAAAAATTAAAATCACAAAGTTATAATAATAATCAAAACAACAGTAATAAATCGGTAGAATAATTGAATTTAATTGATTCAAAATGTCAAATCCAATATATGGATAATTATCTTTTTAAATTCATCAGATCGGATCCCTAAAATTTCGCTACGTCCTCGTTGTTGGTTCCGGGTAATGCTAAGAGCGAAAAATATAATGCAACCTTAAAATCTTTCAATTTTAACAAAATCCATTTTAGAAAAACTGGTTTGTCTTCATATTTGTTATTGGCAACCATAAAAACCCCTATTTGAGTACAAAAATTGAGTTTTAATAATAATGTTAATAAAGATTGTAACAACGTGTTTTATAGGTTTAGTAAAAATGCCCCTTTTGCCACAGGACTAGTAATATAAGTCATTTTTCAACATTTTTTAAAAATAAATTATAATTCTGAATTCAACAGCTTATTCTAATTTAAAATATTTTTTATGTAATGAATTTTTTTTCAATTTGAATTTATATTTAACGCAAACATTATTAGTGTTATTTTGTTTTAACAATTTTTATTTAGAAAAACTTTCATTTAAAAGTAATCTCTTTAAACGAAAGTTCTACTTAGTTAAATTTTTAAAAGCACATCCGTAAAGGTACGAAATTTCTTTTATTTACCATTGGGTCAAAATCATTCTGGAATAATCCAGGTTTAGTCTGGTAAAAAATTCTAATTCGATCTGATTTCGGAATAATCCTCAATTTGCATGCTATAAATTTGCATTTAGTTTGAAACAACATTTTATTTTCCGCAGCATATTTATTAAAAAGAATAAAAGTGGATATAGAAAGGTAGAGGAAAAGCTATAAATTTCCTATCAGTGTATACATATGTCGTGTAAAGCGTTAAATTTAATATCTTAACACAATTAACAATAGTATCGCTTTAATGCTTCACACTCTATCGAATGGAATTGAATTTCTCCAACGTCTAAAGCTTATTGCCGCAAAATCCAGGATGTAATTCATTTCACCGGAAATATCCTTAATCCTGACCGGACGAGATTTCGACAGAGCGAGATACGTCCTCTCAATGCAATTCCTTCGGGAATACCTTTCTCAATGCAGGGAAAATCCAAGGGATTCTGATTCGCTTGCACTGTTCGTATAAAACCCTCCACATATATCCTGAACCGTAAGGGCTTTAAAATTTTCCGCAGCTTATATTCCGTATATAAGAAAAGTTTTGATCACTTAGTTTGTTGGGTTATTTTTTTTTGTTTGTCGTGTTTTTTTTCACATGTCATGTCAAATGAAATCCTCTCTCGCTCTCTCTCTGCTGAATGTGGAAAAACGAACGGAAAGTTAAATCACGCGAGTTGATCATTGTGGTTCATGCCAACCGGTGAATTGTCATGTGAGTGACTGGACCTATTGTCTCTCGAGATAACAGGACTTGATAGTGCCAGGAAGTTTTCATTTAAACGTTTAAATGCCATGCGACCAAAAATACGACCATTTTTCACGCTTGACATTAGCTCTTTATTACTTTTCGTGCATTTTTTTTTATTGGTTTTAAAAACATTTTTCGCATTCGAGGTGAAATGAAAATTGTTTACTGAATTTATAAAATAATGTTTTTTGGTAGTAGAAATTTAATAATTTGTTTGTTATTTAAATTAAATCAATTACCTAGCTGAAAGTACAATGAGAAGTAATGGAATTACTTACTTAAGCAGTGGAATTAGTATTAAATCAATTATTCCATATTCCAATATACTGCGAATTTTTAAATTATATTCATGTTACAATATTTATTTAGCTATTTTGTTTTTGACTAACTACGAGTTTCTCATTATTTTATGATCCTATTTAGATGTTTCACCAGACAGAATCCGGATTATTGCAGACTGAAACTGTATTACTTACATAAGCTTTTTGGATTATTATAAACTCATTTTGGACTTAAATTTATGCCAGACAAAATCAAAATGAATTTCTCATTTTGTACGAAGTAATTTTAAAATAATGATTATGTTGCATTCAATGAATATAACATAAATAATTTTAAAGACTTGCATCTGATTAATATAATTGGTTAGTTTGTTCTTGGATGTTGAAACTGGTTAAGTTGATAAATAAAGTACTTTGAAAAGTTTAAAACATCTGTGAAATTAATTAAATAGACACAAATTATTTGTCAGCAAAATTTCAACGTGGGTGTATCTAATTTTCGACATCGTGTCTCATAAGGACCTTTCCCTTTACAACTCGGTCTCTACGAAATTTCCTTTGAAATTCTTCTTTTCTGTTGCTCAGTTGAGTATTATCGTATTTTCCAATTTTTGGAATAGAGATTTTTGGGTTACCTCTAAAACCTGTCAGATTAATTATCATCAAATAAAATAGGTAACAAATGAATTTTTTAAAAAGAATTTCTTAAATGCAATAGATTTTAAAAAAGGAAAAGATTGTTTTCAAGTAATTTTCAAATGGATTTGAATGAAAGAGGAATGCACTTACCCATCAGTTGTGCAAAAAGAGAACTCAGGTTTATGATTTAGAACACAATAGTTGAGAATTCACGAAGTGAGTTCTTTCATGTATTGTCGTTTTAGTCTAGCGGTAGTGCTATAGAGATGCTGGGCACACATTTCTATATATATGCTATCATATAACTACTATTGCACTGTGCTTTTGACGAACGGAATATACGAAAGGAACAACGATAACCATAAAATCACTATTTCCCTAATCCCCTTGGTGCATACGGGTTTTGAACTACAGACTCCGTCCCTGCAGTTTTTGCTTTTAACGATCAACTTCTTTCGCAGTAATTAAAGAGAATGGAACAATAAAATCCAATCGCCTTCCAGTCGCCATTCGCGTAATGGGATAGATTCTAAACCGAAGAAAACAAAAGATTCGAATTCAGACAATGGTCACTTTTTTAATACACCAGAAAAATAATGATTTTCAGTTGTATTATTCACGGGTTTTATACATTAATTACACGTTATTTACATGAAAGGTGATTATTTACTGTCTGGGGGAAATTTTAAAAATAGAGAAAGGCAGAGAGAAAGAAGAATTTTTAAATTCGGGAATTCAGTGGAATTTCGGTAAATTTAAATATATACAAGCTGTTAAGAGACTTGACATAGTAAGCGCCTTAATAGGATTCATATTAATAACTTTTCTCATCATGAGTGGAAATCCTGAAAGCTGCTTTCAACTTTCGACCAAGAGGTGGTAATTAAGTTCTCTCCTTATTGACGTCTAGAATCTAGATGTAATTATCCATTATGACTTTAAGTTTAAATTCGAAAAGTGAACTACATCATTGACCATTTTTCTCTCATAAGTATAAAAAAACAAAACCAAATGTTAAAAATACTCTCTTGTCTACTCTTTCATAATAAACTTTATTTTTCAACAAACAGGTATCACTTTGTTGAATTAAACATTCCGCTGGTCCAGTTTCCGGACTATTGTGTATTTTTCGTATATTTTTATATCCCACAATGTACTTTCCATTTATCATGAAGGTATACAGAAATAATAGACATTGTCTTTCTTGTTTCATTTGAAATTCTCGAGGATAATTTCATATTTCAAAAGTCCGAGATGAATTTTATTGGGTGTGGATTTCAGAGTTGAGTCGTGACAATGAAATTTAAAGCGGTGATTTTTTTT